TAGCTCTGTGAGCTATTTATCATTATGACATTGTTTGGCTTTTCGAGCTGATTTGCCTTGGGAGCGCCATCTGCGTCGCCTCAGGTCTCCAAGCTGTTAATCAAAGCGAGCACAAAAGTTGCCAGCAACATTCAGCTGGGGAATATTTTTGATTCAAATATGAGTGAAGCTCTTTGCACTCGGTTTATCTTGAGAGCAAGAGGAGCAGCAAGAGAAGCGGCAGGAGCAGCAGGAAGTCTGCTTAGTTCTTTGCGACTTTTGAATCGATAGAAAATATTTTAATTGCTGCAGTTGAGTTGCCTAAGCAACCCAAGGGCGCAGTTGCATCACTAAGCAGCTCAGATTTCATTTATATTTTACCCCATTCAGTATTATCTAACTCAAGCTGAAGGAAATTGCTGGCCAGAGCTCAATATTTAAGTTTATTTAAATTTGACATGAATTCTAATTTCTATTAAAAAAATAGGTAAATTATATAAAAAATGTGTATATTAGCTGGGAATACAAAAATAAATAAATAATAAAAATAATAAATAAATTATAAAAATAAAATTAAAATAAATAAAAATATAAATAAAATCCATTCTTAACAGAAATTCAATTTAACCTTATCTTTTATGTTAAATATTTTTGATAAACTCTTATATATATAAATTTTATTCATACATATACTTGAAATTAAATTTAATAAAAATCATCTATAATAGTAGTTCGATTTAATTATGAGCTTTTTAATTAAATTAAATCTCTAATTAAATCTCTCTCTCTCTCTCTATGTATATGTATATATGAATAAAATATTATATAATATACTACGTATTTATTAAAGAATAACTATTATTATTTAACTAAATTTGCTTTATAAATATATACATATGTATGTATATAAATTTAGTAAATAAATTTTTCAATACAATTTTCATATGATTCTGATATATAATTATTATGTAAGTATATACATGAATATATTTTTACATGAATACATTATTATTAATATATTTATATATTATAAAAAAAAATTAATTCTGATTTTTTTTATTTATATGAATATAGTATAAATATATATATATAATATTATTTCCCTGCCTATGAATTTGAATAAAATATATTTATTATAAAATAATTAAATTTTTTATTTTTTATAGACACATATGGATGTAATATAATTATTTTACATATCTTTATTGCAAATGATTTTATTATTTTATAATGCTAATTTTATCTGTTAAGCATAGGAAATATTTTTTGTAAATATTTTACATATAATTATATTTTTTTTTATTATTCTTATTTACTTTAAAGAAGTATTTTTAATTAATATTTGAAAATACTTCTGTGAGCTCAAGTGAGAAATATTAACTATGTATATTTATCATAAATACCTTAATACCTTTAGATTCCTAATAAATGAATACAATAAGTTTAAAAAATTAAATTCAACTCATAATATTATTATGTAATACATCGAAGGCTTTTATAACATATCAATAAATGTAAATATAAAATATATAACATATATATATATATATATATATATATATATATATATATATTATTTTGGCGCTTATCAGAGTGCACAAAGAATCTGCCAGATCTGGTTCGCCTCGCCTATGCCCGCCTCGCCTGATTCATAATCATTTCACATTTACTCAATTACGTTCATAAATGTCAGATTGGGGCCACGTTGGGTAGCGCTGGGTATGCCTGGTTCTATGGGCCGCAACCCGACAACCGGTTAAGCCAATTTATTAAATAAAAAACCATTTGTCACATTTTATTCAAGTTTTCAACGCCTTTTTGGCGTTGCGTGGCCCGTTGCTATCTTTATGACATTTTCGGCGCTCAATGGCGGCTGAAAAGCCCCTAAAAAGCCATAAAGCCAGCGACGACCTGGCCGAAAACGGTCACAAAAGGGCGCTGCGGTTCAAACAGGCTGGACAAAAGGTCATCCCAGCATTTCGCTTCATTAATTTCACCTGGTCAACTGATAAAAAAAAAAAAAAAAAAAAAAAAAAAAAAAAAAAAAAAACAGCCGTCGTTGATCATAATAAATATAATATGTAATAACCAGATAATAACAATACCAACGAGCCCTTCAAATTTAGTTACTTTTTGTGGGCTTTTCTTTTTTAAATTAAATATATATTATATATACTTTATTTTCTTTATACTATATTTTGACCAATTTTTTGACCTCGCCTCGTTGTCAGAACTTGAAAGCATTCGAAAGACTCGCTGAGACAATGCCGCATGCTCACCGCAATTAGTTGATTGCTGAGCGGGCTCAACTCCATCAAAGATTGTAAGTGCTTTCAATTTCATAGCCAAGCAGACTCGGTCTCGCTCTCAGCATATTTCCCTCTTACACACTCTCTTTCTCTCTCTCTCTCTCTTTCATTTAGTTGGGGCGCTCTCAACGGAAATTAAACTTGTCCAAAAGTTTAAATGCCTTTCAGCCGCTTCCCGTTGTGTTTTGCTTGACTTTTGTTCTCAAGTTGTCGTTGCCACGCCCCCGCTCTGGCCGCCCCCCGGCTGGCTGGCTGGTTGGCTGGCCATGTCTCCCACTTTATGTACATTTATTGTATGTACCCACTCGACGAGTTTTCTAATTTGCGCGCGGCAAGCAATTAAAGGCTGCATCCGTTTTGATGCTGTAAGGCATCCTTTCTACTCTCTCCCCTCTCTCTCCCCATTATCCCTCCCTCCCATCTTCGCTTTATACTATTAAGCGCAGCATCCAGCTCACTCTAGCTGCTTATGCTACAAATTAAGCATGTCAAGTTACTCATACGCCTCGTTATCACATCCAGCCTCTCTCAAGCGCAGCTAATGAGCAATGAATTACCACCTTGACTGTGCTGCAAGCGCGCATTATGCGGATCTTTTGACTGTCAGTGGCATAACTGTAAGGGCTTAGTATGGCCTTTGCATAGACAAAAGGACAAAATACAAGTCTGTAAACTTTATTTATACATATATAATATACATGAATTATGCATTAGGGTGTAGTTTAAATGTTTATCAGCTGGAAAAGTGTCTTATTTGGAAATAGTCGAAATATTTATATTATTATTATTCATAATAGTGGGCTACAAGCAAATCTAGTTGATGTGACTTAGCTGGGCAGTTCTAGTGGCAATCTGAATAATTTCAGTAATTGTAATTTAGATATATGTATAAGTGTTTTTCACTTACACTCTGAGAAATCAAAACAGTTAACTTTTATTGGCTAGCTATGCAGATGAGTTAAAAAATAATAAATTTAGTTATAAATGCAATTTAGTGTAATGTGATGATATACAAATGTCAATGAATATGCTTATTTTAATTCTTTATAATTTACTTTATTTATTTCAAATAAATAAATAAAATTTAAATAAATTAAATTATTTTAATAGTAAATAATACTTTTATATAGTATCAGTGACAGAAGTAGTTGAGCCTGCTGCCTGGACTCTGTCCACTGTGCCCGCCCGCATTTGCCATTGCTGGCCATTGCTAGGCGACGGAACAACTTAATCTCCCTTGGGCTGCCTTTCACCTTGAAATTGAGTTTATAAGGCTTTAAAGACTGTTTAAAGAACTTATTGGTTCATTCATCAGCAGACTCTTATTCGCCTTGATACCCCTGCTAAGCTGTAGCCATGCGAGAACTCGTTGCTTGCTCTCGCTAAGAGAGCCAAAGCAAGTGAAGCCAGCGTACACATTTTGTGTGTGTGTGTTTACCCAATGCATTGCAATGGCCTGTAGCTGTGACTTGAGAAAGTGGGAGAGAGAGAGAGAGAGTAGCAGTTATCTTATGTAGTAGTAGTAGTAGTAGAATCAGAACCTCTAAACTAAAACCAAACATTCTTGTGTGCAAACTGTGTGTGTTTTTTGTTGGTGCTTAAACTTTTTTATACAAATATTTATTGTATTATTTGTGCTTAGCGTCCTTTTGTGTATTTTAAATCCTGCACATTTTGCAGTCTTTAGGGCAAAATAAAAAATAATAAAAAAAAGAGGAAAGAATTCCATACAAATTTGCATTAAAAAATAAAAATATAATTTTTAAAAAATCAATATATAATTTCAATGAACGACAACTTAACTTAAGTAGACGGACTGTAAAAAAATTAAAATATTAATTGTAATCTGCAAATAAGCAAATTAGCAGGTATTCATATAGTCAGCATTAGGAGAGTTAAATAGATTTAAATATTCAATCAGATGTGAGATATTGATAAACATCAAATTTAACAATGATAAAGTTAAAAAAATAAAAATAAAAAATTAAAATGATCCAATACACTCATTTTATTTTCGTGAATGAGTAGATTTATATATTAATTTATTTCCATAAGTAAAGTAAGTAAAAATACATTTTGAATGTGTATGAATATTTTGAAGAATACATATATATATATGTATATATAGCTTGAAAAATATTTCTCGTAAGTGAAATCGTGTGCAATTGTTGTCTACGGCTTGGACACTTACAGCTGAAAGGAAGTAAATATCTGCGAGACTTTTAAATACAATAAGCCCCATCTCTCTCATACAGTGCTTCTATCTCTTTCCCTCTTTCCCCCATATCAGTGATAAGCGATGCTCTTGCAACCATAATTAAGCCACAAAGTTGGCAACTATTAATGCCGGCTATGCATGCTGTTAGCACATAATTTATAACCACTCAGACAAAGGGTAAACAGAGAGAGAGAGAGAGAGAGAGAGAGGTAGAGTCGAGACAGACACTGAGAGGGAGTGAGGCAAATTGTTAAACGCTGCGTTATGCAAATGAATAAATAATGAAATATTTAATAATGCCATGATGAAAACTTATACCAAAAGCAAAAAAGAGAAAAAATATATATATATGTTATAATGGTAATAATAAATGTGCGCATTAAAAAAGATGTTTATTAAAACATGTCATGCATTTTGATACAATAATTTTAACATGTATTTATTTTTGTATTTCTTTTTTTTTTTTTTTTTTTTTTTTTTTTTGCTATTTGCAGTTGTGGACATCGTCGTAGTCCATGGGGAGGCGAGTGCAGCCAGCGCTGCAATGGAAAATGCATTTTGCCACTCAGCCGAGGGCTGAACAAATTGTTGCGCGTAAATATTTAAGAGACGCAATGAATTGCCATTGAAACAAAGATAAAGAGCGCATTTTCGCACACAGATAAAGAATATGCGTGGCGCCCCTACGCTGCCCCGCCCCATTCCGCAGAAAGAACAAACTACTATGCAACTGCAACTAGCGCGCGCGTAAACATTGACAAAAGCAAACCAAACAGCATTCCAACAAAGTATAAAAAATAATAATAGCGCAAATATTAAACAGTCAAGGAGAAGCAAGAGCGAGTGAGAGAACAGAAGGAAAGAAATAAAAACGAATGCATAAACAAATAAAAATGAAAATTAAAATATTTCCGCTGACAGCGGATGCAACAGCAGCAGCAGCAACAGCAGCAACAGCAATGAAACAGCAACGGAAACATAAAATGCCGGAAATATGCTCATGGCTAATTGTTGCCGCTGCCGCCGTCTCGGCCAGTTGGTTGACCCTTTCGCGGTCTCTGGTCGCCGCACAGGACGCCCACGATGTGGACAGCGAGATGCATCAGCATCATTTGGATCTGTTGCACCATCAGCAGCAGCAGCAGCATTCCGATTTCATTATCGGCGAGTCCGAGGAGCGGGATCACATAGCCCATCATCTGGGTAAGTGCAAACAGACAGATAATACACGGATATATATTCAAGAGAAAACCAATATGATTGAAATGATGCGCAAATATTATTGATACAGATTGGGGGAAAATATTTACTTAAATTGTTTGCTTTGTTTCATGTGCTTAATATGAATACTTAATAATGAACAATTCAATGAATCAGAGTAATATAATAATAGTTAGATTGTGCAAATATTTACTTAGCTTGTTAAATAAGCTTAATAGTATATAAACTGTTAACAGTTAATCAGCTTGTGGGAAATGAATAATATTATAAAAATTTATTAAAAAAAAAAAAAAAAATACTAAAATTTAAATATAAACATAATAACTATTATAATAGAATAAAATAAATTAAATATAAAATAAAAATAAAATAATTAAATAAAAATAATTAATTATTATGCATTATTTAAAAATCCTTAAAAAAATGAAGCAATCCACGAATAAATATAAAATATAATAGATATTTAGTATTATTATTATTTACTTAAATAAAAATAAATACTTATATATAGAGTTTGCCTTCAATAAGAAAAATATTACAATAACATTAAAATATATAATTAAAATATATAAATATATAAATCGAATTTAATAGTTAAAAAAAAAAAATACAATTTAAGTTTTTATTATTCATTTTTGTGGCTATATATTTACAAAAATATTTTTTATATAACTTTACATTATATAATCTGCTTAATATGCTTAACTGAAACGAACCAATAAAATTCTATTTCAGCCCAAATCTTCATGGGAAAATACACAATTTTATAATTTTGTTCTACAAAATTTTATAATTTTATAATTAGTAATTAGTAATATTATACAATAATTTAATTTTATTTTTATATTATATTATATATTACAAAATAATTTAAACAAAAGCTTTTGGTTGTCTTTGTGGTATATTTAAAAGATACTTAAATCTATCAAAGAAGATATAAAACTTGCACTGAAAATATTTTCATTACAGTAAATCTTTTAAATATATAATATAAATTGAAAATCTATAAAATAAGAAAGCAATTTCAACAGCTTTGTGGATTATGTTACTTAGTACCTGCCCGACTGGGATAGAGCTGCGAATCGAAGTTTTAAGCTTGAGCACAATAATAAGAGCTACTCGTGCAAGTCCTTTGACAAATTAAAGTGTCCAGAGGAGAAACTCTCTTATGGTAGTCGAGATGAATTCCAGCCACGTCACTTTGTTCGATTTTTGTAGCTGACAGCGAGTCCCAGAGGGTGAGGAAGGGTGAGGGAGAGAGTGCGGGAGGGAAAACCCCTAAATGGGATAGCCGGGGCTGTTAGCACGCTCTATTTGCGTTTGCTTTTGCTTAGCACAAGGTCAACTTGGCGTGTGGCTGCCAAGTGCCAACAAACTTTTGAGTGTCGCCCGGCCGTAGCCACTCCGTGTCACTTGAGCGGAATTATGTGAGTGACAAGCCGGAGCTGAGGACGGCCGCCTCTCCCCGCCGAACGCCAGTTTGGCTCATTTCACACGCCGGCGCCGGTTGCGGGCGAGGGCGTGCTCTTCGGTCGCCTGGCTTTAGTGGCCGTTTAAGTTGGCCCTAAGACCTAAGCCGTTCACAGAATAATTAAAGTGACCCACAGTACCCACAGTACCCAGGGTACCCACAGCACCCAGCCCCTGCCCGCCCACATGGCGTATGCGTATTCTCCCTCACATTCGCATTCGCATTCGAATTGCGGCTGCCTGACATAAACTGTGGTCTGTCTCTGCCCCAAATGTCTAAGCACATACACACACGCACACACACACACACGCACACAGTACAGAGCCGTGTTTTGTGGCCACTTAAGTTTTCTTTGTGCCTGACTTGTGGGCTGCTATTGCTCTGCTGTGGGTGCTCAACAAGTGGGCAACAGTTGACATTGTCCAACAATGTTTCTCCCTCTCTCATACACAAATGTACATATAGGCTTGTATGTGTGTGTGTGTGTTTTGTTAAATATGAAAGCACATCTGCTTAGGCCGCTGGCTTCTGGCTGGACACAAAAAGTGATTGACACTCTGATTGATGGCGCTTTGGGTCGTCGAGCACTTTCCTTCGGTTTTTTCTCTCTCTTTTTGGGCTTATGACTTGACAATGTTGAGCAAGTTTTTCATTGTGCATTGCACTGAATTTAAAGCATGCTCTTTATGATTAAACACACTCATGTGTGCTCAGAGGGGTTTTTTTTTTTTTTTTTTTTTTTAAGCATTATCAACAAGTTTACGACAAATTTGCCAAATTTATGAGGCTATGAAAAGGGTTATTTCATTTGGATTAGGCGATTTCTGTGCAGGATATATAAAGTATTTTGTTGTATTATGATATAAAATATTAAATTTCACTATTTTCTATTAATTTAATTTTTTTATTATTTGGTTTGATAAATCTTGATCCTGAGTTTATATTTTAAAGTTCTTTTTGCTGGGACCTTCTTAAGGTATTTTTGTGTTTTATTTCTTCAATATTATTTTCACCAGACAGACTTAATGAAAGTGCTAACATAGAGAGAGAGAGAGGGAGAGAGGGAGAGAGAGAGAGAGAGAGAGGAATATAGAAGGAGATAGAGAGAAATAGGATGAGAAAGGGATTAAAAAGGAATAAAGGAGAGTTACTGGAAAGAGCGCGTGAGAGGCAGAGGAGTAAAGATAAAGAAAGTGGATCAGAGAAACAAAGACAAAAAAAAAACAAAAAAAAAAATATGAAATGAAATTAAACAAGCAATATTATTATTATATTATTTGTTATACATATATTATATTTATTTTATTATTAAAATTATTAAATTTTATTGTAACATACATATATATAATATTTTTATAATATAAATAATAATATATTTATTAATTAATTATTTTTACTTTAATTATATTTATTTTGTAGCATTATTATTTAATATAATTTTTTATTTTTAATCTGAGTGAAAACTGCAAGCAATTTGACAACTTTAAAATATTTTATTTATATTTTTTTAATACTATAAACAATGCCTATTATATTATAGTTCTACTATTTAATATATTTATCATTTTTAGAAGAGTGTAGAAACAAAATATAAAAATATGTATTGTAAATATATGTATTAAGATTTATATCATAAGAATATATAATATATATACATATATAGGTTTTATCGAACTACTCATTCGATGAAATCTTACAATCGTAAATGTTATAATTATAGTCGACTGCTATATATGGGCTATATAATGAGATTTTAATTTAGATTTAATTAATTTGACGTTATATAATGCATAATACAAGCAATATGAAGAAGAAAATACAAAAAATAAGAAATAAACATAAACTCTATTTTCATTGAACTTTTGACTTTCAATTCAAAAGCGCTTCGAAGCGAAAATCTAATAGTTAATAGTTATTGCAATTAAAAGTTGCGCTAGGAATAAATAAATATTGAAATTGGGAACTCGCACAATTCAATAAAAATTTATGTACAAACTGTGAAACTTTTGGCATTTAGCTATCAAAAACTTTATGCCGCTGATTATAGACCTGCGTGTGTGTCTATGTGTGTGTCAGAGATAGTTGCAGATAGTTTTGCTTTGCTCATCTCTTAATAGGATTTTAATCACGTAGTCTAAACTTTAGCGCTATATCAATTTTGTCCGTCTTCGCTGGCACGTTTGGCTCTGTCAGATGAAATTTCTGCAGCTCGGTCTCTGATTGCGCTTAACTGTTCTCGCGATGTGCATTTCGTGATGTTTGTGTGCCAGCCACGCCCAATTCCCTGCACAGTTAAACATCGACCCAGCCCCCATCCTTTGGCGTCGCAATTGTTTGACAATTTTTCAACAATTTCACCCAGTTCGCAAAAAATTGGATAGCCGAAAAAAAAGAACGTCGAAACTCTTGCCATTCACAGCTTTCCATTGCTATTCATGTATGTATGTGTGTGAGTGTTTGTGGTTGTTTGTGTTGTTGTGTGCATCTTTCACACGCTTTTGCGTTGCTGCTAAAAGTATGCAACACTTTTTGCGCTTTGCATTGTTTAGCGCTTCGTCTGGCCAACGGGGCGGATGAGCAACATAAAAAAGAAAAAGAGAGAGGGAGAGGGAGAAAAAAGAAAAAGCCGAGAGCAAAGCACCGACCGAGGCAGAAGCCAACTACAATCACGGCTGCTGTTAGCCTTTGAGGCGTTTTGTTGCTTTATTGTGTGGAGTGTGCGTGCTCGTGTTGTTGTCAAAGCTGTTGTTGTTGGTGCTGTTGTTGTTGTCGCAGCAGTCGCAGTAGTTGCTGTAATTTGTATTTCATTTTGCATACTTGTGTCGTGACAGTAGTTGCAGGGTATATATGCAGCCGACAGAGAGTTGAAACTGCTGGCATTTTTGTATACCCTAGCAAAACATTGATGTTCACGACGATGTCGTTATCGAAAGCTAAACATCGATGCCCAGTATTTATCGAAAACTGAACATAGTGTTTGATGAAGTGATGATACAGTTGAGTCCCGATAATTCGAAATGGCAAGGGAATCAATTTTTTTTATTTTTTTTTATTTGCACAGAATTTTAAATTATTGAGAACAAATTTTTTCAAGGGGATAGAATTTTTCCGATTAATCGCGATTTAGGATCTAGCGGGTTATAAATGATCGCGACTCGACTGTATTTTCATTACAACGTTGATATTGCTGTGCTCAACATCGATAGTCATCGAAAAGCGATCAGTATAGAGGATGCATATGCATTGCCAGCGGGAAATTAGGTATAATGGAAATGTATGTAACAAGCTGAAGCAAGCATGGTAGATTCCAAGTATATATATATGTCGAAGCAAGTAGTATTAATATGTTGGCGAGCACTATAATTGCGCTTACTACCTACTCGCATATTTTTCCTTTTCTGTATGCCTTCGCACTTATGCGTGTAGTTGTAGTGTCGGTGTGTAATGAGGTTGTATGTGTGTGGTTGTAGTTTTCGGCTATTTTCCAAGAATGGATTTCATCATATTGCAT